CCAGTGCCTGTTGAGCCAGGCAGCAGCAGCTGAACAGCCTGGCTGCTCCCACAGGGTGGTCGGTTTGAATTCCTGCCCAGACACAGACACGAGCTGCCAGAGAGAAAGTGCTAGAAGTTAGTATGCATGTCTGGACACGTTCTTCTGCTTCACTACATCTACAGACTTTATGAGCAGCGCACTGGGTGTCCATACAGGTGAAGATAGTAGCTTTATAGTACTGTTTAAGGCACATTTATTTAGTTTTTAAAATATATATAAAATTACAAAATGAGCTAAAATGTAATAAACAAATAAATCAGGATAATTTAATAAAAATACTGTGGAATTGTACAGTACAGTGAATTATCCACCATTTTGTTTCATAATATTATTATATGCTAAAATGAACTGCTTAAAGAAACAACAGAAACGTGAAAGATCTGTCATATATGCTGAGAAGATGTCTTATGTTGCACTCACATCATTATAAGGGTTATCTGATAAATATAGGAAAGATTCCCATGTTTATAACTTATAACAACTTAAGACGGCTGTATGATTGCAGAGTTCATTGTGTAGTAGTCAGAAATGCATGGACCATTTACCTATATCATGTAAATATACATGATACATGATGTTGAATTACCTTGAATGAAATAAAACTCCACATGTACCAACATCTAAAAGCTTTACAAGAAAACGACTGCAATGCCGCCGTCAACACAACTGGTCTTCAAAAAGAAATCCAACCACACACAACTCCACCACCTGCTATTGTTTGATAATCAGCCTCACATGCAGCTTGCCCTCCATTGAAGTGGAATTCGTTACGTTGGGGCTACATATAGACTATAGTATAACCCCATAGGCATGTCTGACAGCGCTGCATATACACTGTTCTTTATACACTTACTACTGTATATATACTACTACTGTACCTGAGCAGCATGATAACATCAAAGAAAATAAAACTAGTAATATAAGCAGAAAATTCAATGTATCAAATTAAAGCAATCATCAAGGTCAGGTATTGTTCTTCTAGTAAAATATTGGTATCTTCTCACAATGTAATTGTGTAATTATGGGGTGGTGATGGCGCATAGATAAGATTGGCGTGGGAGACCTGAGTTTGCTTCCCACTGTGACCCATCCACCATTGTGTCCCTGACCAAGACACTTAACCCCTCGTTGCTCCAGAGGCGTGCGACCTCTGAGCAATTGTAAGTCGTGTTGGATAAAAGCGTCAGCTAAATGAATAAATGTAAGTGTAATTGATAGGTATGTTGTTAACAGTAAGTAACCAAAACAAATGGAGGGGTCGGCCACATAATCTTGGAGAAATCCCAAACTTTTTGTTTAAATGTGAATTTCAATAGATTTGTCAAAATATGTTCTCAATGTGTGAATTTTCATCCATTCATGCAAATTCTGGGCGAAGGCTCTCATTTGGACCCAGGTTAGTCCCAGTTGGCTCCAGAAACTCTAACTGTGCAAAGGCCAGTATTGTTGTTGGTCTGTGGATTGAGGTTGTTGGATGCTTTATTGGGACAGAGCTGTGACTTTGGGTTACATAATTAAACTTGAGTTGTTTCAAATGCAGATCAAAACGATCCAAACAGGAATTAAACACTACACACACACACACACATTCACTTCCTCTCTGCTTTACGGTACAGACTTTGATCCATTGAAGGACAATTTACTGCAGTAACACTGAACACTGCCAAATATTTAAAACACACACTCTCACACACAACGTGCTGTAGTATGAAAACTGCAGTGCGTACCTTTCCTTTAATGATGGTTTAAAGTGAATCTAGAGGTAAGCTTTTTTTTCCTTAGCCATCCACCCTGAAGGTTTAAAGGGAACATTCATACTCAGAAACAAAGCTGGCAGGGACACACATTTGTGCCCAAACGTTACACTGTTTTCATTCAAGCTGTGTTGCCAGGAATTAACCTGGGTCCAAATGTATTACCCTTGCGGCCGTACGTTTCACTATCAGCTGAGTTCAGTCGACAGTCTATTTTCTACGTGCTCCGCCTTGATTAAAGTTCACTGTTGTTGTACCCTGAAGAAGCTGTGAGACGCCCCGAGAGAATCCTCACCGTCCAATCAGGCGGTAGCGTGCCCTATACATGAGCACCGAGCCCACAACTCCCTGTGTCACTCTTTTGAGCAACATTGCTGGGTGTCCTTCTGGCGTTTCTGATTTACAGGACCTGCTCCATCCTGTTTGCTCAGAGACTCAGTTGGCCTCTGCTAGTTTGGTGTCATCAGGTGGAGTCAGTCCTTCGGGAGGAGCGGGAGAAGTCCTCTGTCACCCTACTAAAATTAGGAGTCTGGCTGGATTTAATTAAATTTAACTGTTTTGAGCCCTTTTACAATTTAGATTTTAACCATGCTAGCCAGCTCGGTCCACCAATTTTGGAACAACTACTGAAATTTTGTACAGGCATTCATGGTCCCCGGAGAATGAATCCTAATGACTTTAGTGATCCTCTGACTTATTCTCTAGCGCTATCATCAGGTCAACAGATTTAACAGTTCACAGTAACAGCAAGACTCTGTTGTGCCAACTGATTGCAGCAAAATATATCTCATCATGCCACAGAACAACCAGTGGAAACACAAACTAGACTGATAAATAAATTAAATAATTTTACTGTAAAACTTTCAAATTGTTATTATTTTCATTGTTTGGTATTTTAGTAATTGTTCCTTGTAAAAAGGAACTCATAAACCATAAATACATGGGTTTATTTGTTTGTTTGTTTTACAATTCACATTTGATACTTGATTTGTTTTTCTTTGATGCTGATTTTTTTATTTATTAATATATTGTTGTATCTTTATTGATCCTAAACATAAAATTGCTTTATATATACTACTTACCTATGGTGCGCACACACACACACACACACACACACACACACACACACACATTTGTTTTATCTATATTATTTGATTTGATTTTTTTGATTAACCTTATTTTATGATTTATTTTATGATTTTTTGAATTTATTTTATTTAAACACACACACATTTACTGTTTTAGTTATTTTATGAATGCCAATAAAGCAAAATTGAATTTAATTGAATAGATGCTGTCACCTTTTAGTTTTAGTCGACCGAGGGACATACATGACACATTTGTTGAAACATCTGAGAGACCTAGGAGTGGAGCACCAGAGGATTTTTCCATATCATGGAAAGACAGAATAGGCTTCAGTTTTGAAATGGTTCTTAATGAGTAGCAACTGTTTTTAACAACAGAACTGATTTGCTTTTTAAAACAGAGCTTAAAATCCCCCAGTTATTTTTTGCATGTGACTTCTCGTGTGGGGTGAGGTGGCCCAGCATACTGGAGAGGTGACTTGTGGACCAAAGATAATTACTTCAATTTTATTGCTGTAGTAGGAGATTATTTTCCATCCAGCCTTAAATCACTTCAAAACAGTCCAGGAGGGGTTGTAGGGAATTTCTCGAAGAAGTGACAGGAGATGTTATACCTCCTAATAATGTTTCTAAGAGGGAGCATGTAGAGACAAAATACAACCAGCCCCAGGATGGATACCTGGGGGACCAGAGCAGAGGAAGAGGAAAACTGGCCTATAGAAACTAACAATGTCCTACATTTAAGATGGCGTTTAGAACCAGTTTATTGTTGTACCTACTCTTCAAAACATGTCAAAAGGATGTCATGGCCCACGGTATCGAAGGCAGCAATAAGACCTAGTAAAACCAGGATGGCATTTTCCCCAGAATTTGTCAAATTTAACAGAGCTGTTTCAGTGCTGTGGATGGCTTTGAACTCTGAGATGGATATCGTTCGTATTCAGAGATGGTTTCCGTTGTGACAGAACACTTCTACATTATTTTTAAAAGGAATGGCAATATAGAGATGGGCCAATAGTTATTTAAACATTTAACATCAATATTATGATTTTTGAGCAGAGGCAGGGCAACTGCATGTTTAAAACATGCGATGACTCTGCCAGAGGCTAAGCTGGAATAAATAATAACTTGGATGCTAGGGTACAACCATATCAAACCTATCCTTTATCATATGGGAGGGTACAACATCTGTTTCATGTGCATGACGAGGGTCCTCATAAACCGGTTGTAATTGATTAAAGACAGCTGGGGCCTCTGAGCAAAATAGCTGGGTGCCAGGGAGAGTAGGAGAGAATATCGATCTGATGTTTTCAATTATTTCAGTGAAGAACCTCAAAAACTTCTCACAGAGATCTGTTGATACTTCAATATTATGAGCTATATGGGTTTTGAGGACAGAATTTATAGAACTGAACAGAATTTGGGGTCCTTGAGAGAGTTTACTGATTATCTCAGAGAAGGATCTAGCTCTCGCTTTTTGGCTGCTGCCTGGAAATTAGCCAGTTTTTAAATATTTCAAATGAAACTGAGAGGTGATCTTTTTTTCCATCTCTGCTCTGCTCTCTGACAAGCCTGCCTAATGGAATGGGTTGAATCGTCCAAACACAGATGAGGCTAAACCTTGGGATGATTTTTGAGGGGGTGGACTACAAAGTTCAGGATAGCTAAGCGGGAGGAGTGGATGAGGGAAAGTAATTTATCTTGGCTCGAAAGAAGGTGAAGGTCAGCAGCAGAATGAAGAGATGTTGCGATGTTGTTTCTTTGATGGGCTTCAGCAGACTGATTTGCAGTGAAATAATTTATGTTGCAGGAATAGTAACCAGGGGCTTTGAAAAAGTGGTTATAGAGCAAAACTTTAACACTCAGAATTTGGAAAGTCAAATAAAATCATGAACAGTAAATATAATTATCTATATATAAACATACTGTATATTTTGAGTCTAAGTCTTGTTCCTCTGAGAAGTCTGATGCCTTCCTCAACTTGCTTTTATTTGGATTTTGTTACTTTAAACACACCATCAGAATATGTCTATGGGGTTTTATAAATCTTTTCAGATGAAATAATTATATTTGAGAGAAAACTATATTGAACAGTTTCTTCTCTGTGTCTGTCTTTCAGTGGTTTGGTGATCTGGTGACTCCAGTCTGGTGGGAAGACGTCTGGTTAAAAGAAGGTTTTGCTCATTTCTTCGAATACGTTGGCACCGACTTCCTCTTCCCAAAGTGGAACATGGTAAGTAAAAAACGTTTACAGTACATAGATGTCTTTTGACCTGATGTCAGAAGTGTTACTGCTTCACAGTCTTTATCATGTTTGTTGAAGAAACATTGTGAGCCAGATTCAGTTGTGAAGAAGTTTCGGAGACTGATGAAGACTTAACATAGCATGGTTTAGCCCGGCCGAGGAGACACAGTGCCAGCATACAACATGTGAACATGTCAAATGCCAACACCATCTGAAGGATAAAGTTCAAAAAAAATTTAAAAATTAATTTCAGCCTCTGTCTGAAACAAGCTGTAGATGCTCCTGTCTCTTTTAGGCCCCCCCCTCTCAAAGCCCACTGACCTGAAGCATGTTACCAGGGGCGAGTTCAGCGCCGACAAAACGTAGCAAAACGTATTTTTTTCAACGGAAACTGTGGTGCCTTGAACACCCTGCTGTGTACGCAAGCGCACTGCATTTTCTTGCCTTTCTAACACCGTCGTGTTTACAAACAGAGAAAACATTCCTCAAAGCCCGCTGCGCAACGCTCCAAGGAAACGTCATTCAATCAGAAAACATTGCAAACTGGTGCAAAACATTTTGAGATTAAACTCGCCCCAGGCTGTTGTTGTTGCTGGGCGGAACAGGTAGACTGAGCGTTGCCGTTCCACAAGATCATATATGGAACACCGGCTCCGTCTGGCTCGGTAATAGAATTGAGCTGGATATTCGGCTGAAACAAGTATCCGGTACGGATAAAGCACTTTTGCCGAGTACGAGTATTATACGAGTCAACATCTGTGCTCGGATTGAATAAAAATCCTCATTGGGTAGCTGACTGTGTCTGCGTTCTGTGATAGGCTAGTCACAGCGCCCCTACAGATTTATTGTGTCCCGCTTTGCTCACTGACACACAGAACACTGAGAAGAGAACAGCTCTCTCTCTGTCTCTCCCTCAGTCACTCAGGTCCGCGGGTCTTTTCCGTTAACGTTTAGGGTTTCTTCAGCTTCAGGTTTGTTTTTTATTTCGGTTTGTAGTACTACTTAATTATTAACCAGTAGAGTTCTGGTGGGGTTTGTTCAGACGTGGTGCTTGGTAGAATGCGACTCGCGTTGCATCTCTGCCTGTCTGAGATTTTTTTTCTCTTTTTTAAAGCGTCAGCTGGCTCTAACCAGAGTCTCTGACACTTTCTTGCTGTATTTCATAAAAAAAAATAAAGGAAGTACAAAAGAAAAATAACTGTGTTAGAAAACATTTGGTTCTTTGATATAAAGTCAAAGGTACAAGTCTGTGGACCAGCAGCATGTTAGTCCTTCCTGTCTGTGGCTCTCAGCTCCAAGCCCATTGGTTCCTACTGATAAAAAACTGTTTGTTTGTTGGGGACTATTTTCAGCGGGGGATGAATCCACATGTGGTGCTCTAGTGAGTATTTGGGGCAGCAGGGCGGTGTATGTGGGACTAAGTCAGAATAAAACTGCAGTATGTGTTCATGGTGATTATAGGAACATGTCACCCAGTACAGCAGTGAGGCTCACTGATGGGTTTTAATAGTTTCTGGACAACAATGGAGCTCTGTGGCTCAGAGGAAGAAAAGGTACTTGTTAGTAGAGAAGTACGAGTCCCAAGGAGCATTTAGTTTTTTCTGCTAATTTTAGATAAATTCAGCACGGCAAAATATTTTAAGAACTACAATACTGAAGCGTTCTGAATTTGCTTCAGCTCTGATTCTCTCCTCTGACTGTCTTTTTATCCAAAGCAACAGCAGCTCAGGGTCATGGGTATGGTGTTATTTAGAGCCATTCAGCATATCAAACTTAAATAAAACTGAAATAATTCAGTTTAATGGCAACAACACAAACCTCATTATCGATTTATTGAAATTTTCAAGAGACTCGTATGTTTTTTTTATGTGGAGCAACACTGAGGATAGCACAAAAGGATGAAATGATCCGTTATGGTTGGAGTAAATTATACTACCTCTGAGGGTAAAAATCTATCTGCTGCTCAGTTTGCACCAGAAATCCATCTGTTCCTCTTTATTGTATAAAACTTTATGTAACCTATAATACCATTTGGACATACATAAGAAGAAAGTTAAAACTGGCTTTTGAGGAGGAGGAAGTCCTGACTGTGAGGTCTCCTCCTGAACTCTTCCACCTTCTTCCACTCGTATGGATCAATATCCGATTCCTACTTTTCTAAAAGTGTTTTCCTGCAGTTCAGCAGATCATATCCAGCCCGAATCTGCGGCAGGTGAAATCAAGGTTTTATGTTATTCTGCTCAGGTTGGCAAACAAATTGATGTAGAGTTAGTCAGCTCAAAACACAAAATGAAATGAAAAGGAAATCTTCCTCAAGTTTGCTCTAACCCCCCCCAGACAAACTCAGACACACACACACACACTTCTTCCTGCTTTGTTTCTGCCAAAGTATGTTGTGATTTACTTCAAATAGAGAACGTGTTATACCCAAAACACCTTATCTTCCGCACGCACACACAGTCTGCTTCTGAGCGACATGGCATTTTTAAATCCCTGTTACTGTGGTTCTGCACGGCTGGACGCTTTAATAGAAACAAAGTGTTTCTCCAATAACAAGCACAATGATGATAAAGCGGTCTGTTCCTGATAAAACAATTTATTTATAATACAGGTTTTTATTTAAAAAGCCATTTCCATCAGAAGTGAGTCACGGCGCTGCAGGGAGAAGGGCAAAGCACAGCCGAGGAAATTAAACACAAATGAAAATATGAGCAGGAAGGAAATACATGCTAGATCGTTAATGTATTACAACTAATCAATCAATCACTTACTCAGGCAGGGGGCATTATATCATGTCATAACTACTATTTGGGAGTCTAACCAATAACCAGGATTTGGGGAATTTTAAAGCCAACTCAGACCTAATGTGATCAAGCCTGGTTTAAAATTGAGATGCACATTTCTTACTTTAAAACACAGATTTAAGAGCTGGAGCACTGGTCACATCAATTTGATACTGACATAAAGAGATGGCTGCAGGGTTTACAGCCACAGTCGAGTGTGGTACACATATTATAGTACAATATTATGTAATATATTATATGTAGTGCCAAGCTAAAAACAGCCTCTGGCAGAACACTGTCCAAGTTTTTCGATTCATCATTAGTACTTAAAGTTCATGTAGATGTGTTCCTTTCACACCTGTAGTATGGTCCTTTAGGGAAATAATAATCCTATTGTTGTCTTTAAGTTCTGGTCAGTTTCATGTTGACACTTTTTACAAACAGAACAGGGGCTGTAAACATGAAGTCACACCGACTGACTCGTTCAGTTTCTTTGGCTGTTCTGCAGCATCATCAGCGCTACAGTGAGCCAGAGGGGAAAATCAAATGTGAAAGCAAAGAAGTCATGCTGCCCTTTATTGGGCCTGATAGGTCCTTTTAATTTTATTTGATGGTCACAAAGAGCTTGTGAAAAAGTAATTGATTTTGAACACTATAACTCAAGGCTGCAGCTAGACCTCATACATGATAAATACTAACGAATAGGCAGAAAAAGTTCAGAAGACAGCTTTAGCACCAGTCTAAACAAACTGGACAGGCAAGCACACCAGAGTTCATTTAAGAATGTACCAAACAGTTTGGTATGAAAGTCCCCCAAGATGCAACATGTCAAGAATTACTAATTTATTGCTTTAGCTGACTATATCAGTGGGACTATACCACTTGGTCTGTACTAAATAATATCCTGCCTCTCCTAAATTTGTGTCATGACATTCAAAACAAAAACAAATTATGAAAACGGGCAAATGGGACTTTTTCTACAGCCACGGTCCAACATTTTAATTAGCTTTATTTTAATTCAAAATCACCAATACAATGTGTTTTTCTATAGTAAGAAAAGACCATAATATTTGTTTTGTACGGACACAAAAGAGTGGTAATAAGGGACCGGAGTAACACGCATTTCCCAATAGCTTCGACAAATGAATACTTTTTAATATGCAAAAACAAGCTACCAACTTTACCCAAACTTGAACTACTTTTAGAAAATTTCAACATGGGGAAACCAAAAACAAGGCCTAGACCAAGCATAGCGATTTGCTGTGAACATGGTTTGAATTAGCTTTATTTGAATGACCAAAAACCAATACAATGTGTGTTTTTATTGTGAGCAAAGACCATAATATTTATTTATTTTTTTGGACACAATAGAGCAGAAAGAAGGGACTGACAGGCTAAAACTAACACCAACAAAAACACAATACAGGGGATGGAAAATGAACTTGAGGTACTTTTACTTAATAAATTTTAGTACTTTTTCCACCACTGCACAACCCACACTGACAGCATGCTCTCTGTGTATCTGTGAGAGAGAGGAAGCGGGTCAAAGGGATATGTGGACCAACAGATAACTGATGTGAAACAAATAGACTTCCGATCGAAAATATGAAATATTCATGTTAAAGACAGCGGACAGAGGACAATCAATACTCATCTTTTCCTCTGCTCTCTTCCCCTCTTAGAAATGGATACTTGACCCAATGAGAAAATGAGGTTGTATTTAAATCATCCTCCACTTTCCTAAGTGTGTTTGCGGTCAGTTTAACCCACAGTTTGTTAACTGATAGTAGATCATCTCCCAAGGTAGACTTATTCATCATTTTACAGCACAGGGTTGTATAATGAGATGAAGGTACGTGTCATCTTATGTCACAAATCCATATATACATTATAAAAACCTATTCTGACAATTCATCTGAGAGCAGTTTATGGGAAAAATAACATCAATAGTTGTTTTTAGCTGATCCAGTAAATTGATTATCTGATAAAGCAAGATGTAGAAATCCTGTAAATTCAATATTGACATTAAAGGTCTGTTGATATTCTTTATTTTTCTTGTACTCAACTAATTCCATGAAAATACCAAATTTTATGGGTCCTAATAGCAAGTTATGTGTGTGTATCAAAGCCTGATGTCTCTTCTTCCTGTGAGCCATAGCGCTCCAAACCCATCAGTGAGCCTCACTCCTGCTCTGGGTGACTTGT